ATGAACCTACATGAACGATCGCATGTTAAATAATTTTTTGAGGTGGCGACACCTGATTGTTACTGTGGCCGTGCTCAGGACGCAGATCTACTAACCGCAAAAACAGCGGAGTGCTCCCTGCTTGGCGGCCGCATCAGTGATCGGTGCGTCGGAGGACAAGGTGATGTGCCCCGCTCCACAGCAGCGAAACACATCATGCGCAAATAAAAGACAGAAAACATTAAAGGAAACGAACCGACATGAATGATCGCGTGTCAGTACCAACGCTCTGGCACAGCGCATTCCCCAACCCCCCCCCCACCCCCCCCCCCCCCCCCCCCACCCCCCCCCGAGCGCAGGCTGCTGTCTTTTCCGAGGGCTGCATCTTGCCGGTCATTATCACGTGACAGCGACTAGTCGACGACAGGCATAAAAAGTCACTAAAGTGAAGTTGACTAGTTCATACAACCCCTGCTACTGCTCCCCAGTGTTCTGCAGCATAATCAGCACGTTCTCTTTGAACTTGATATCAAAATTTCGCCTCCTCTTCATCTCCGCATGGTTAAAGTTACCCTCGCGGTCTATCACTGGCAAATCAAAAGTGAGACGATGACACAACCGCCCCCCGTACTTGCTTGTTACCAGCCATTATTCACCTCCGCCGACACCGGCCAAAATTGGAGACCCGGCCTTTAATTGAATACCGGCCTGTATTAGAGGATTTACGGTATGTATGTTTTAGAGATTTTATTTTGACATTTTGCCATCATCTCCAGTCTTCTTCCTTCACGTCCTTCCTTTTTGGCCCAATCCCAATACTTGCACTTCCACACTTGCGTCCTTCAATTGCGCAATTCCGACCAGGGGTGCGAGCGCGTAGGGTGTCCTGATTATCAAGTGCAGAAATTGATCACGCCCCTTTTGGACCCTTGATCTGCATTTCACGAAGTATTTTACCCACAGTTCATTGCTTTGCGTAAAATATGACAATATGTATTTTCTGATGAAAATAGTTAATTGTGGGATGATTTGTTGATGCTCTGAAATTTTCATACAAATAATTGCTTGGTTGTTTGTTTGAAAGTTGTTGATAAAGGTTTTTACAAAAAGTATAACAGTGACCAGTATCCCGGCACGCGTTGCGGTCGATGAAGCAATGCTCCCCGTCTCATTTAGGCAATTATTTGCACACTTATGTGCCACGCACTTGAAACCTTACTGCCCACTTCTGCAAAGTGCACCTTGCTAAGGACTGCAGGGAGCTGTGCAAGTATTGGGATTGGTCCTTTCTCTACATTACTCCTCCTACTTACATCTCTTCCTTTCATCATGCTCTTCTTCCTCCTTTCAGTTCACATCCTCCTTTTTTCCCTCTCTTTTTTCCATCACCACCCATTTTCCGCTCTTCTCTCTTTCATTCTTTACATATTTGCTGGCAGAACCAGGAAGTGGTGAGGAAATGACACCCGTCCCCTGTAATTGAGCCATGTGGAACCATCCCCACCCTGTTTGAACATAATCTGGTTCTGCATTACGAAGACTTGGTTCTAAGGGGAACCCAGAAGAACCTATATTCTGTGATGAGTCTGGAACAGACCAGTGCATCTCTCTAACGTCTATGTGATCTCAAGTATCTGTGCGTGCATGCAGCTGAGGGGGAAAACAGTTTCGGCTAGCTTGGGTCAGTCCCAGCAGAAAACGGGTGGGGGCGTGGGAATGGGTCAGCATTCCCGACAGCCCGGTCCAATTCCTCCCTCCCTCTTCTGCCGTGGAGGATTGAGGGAATCTTTTCTCATGGGCTTCTCTCTGAGATTGGTCGCTGTAACGATAATATTTGGACATTTTTCTGATTCTCTGTCTGTTTTCAGAACTCACCCTGGAAAGCTGTCGCTAACGCGTGTTAAACTTCCTCTGGAGTCGTGCAGAAATGTGAAACGAAACCTGCAAATCTGTCAGGTGACAGCAGCCTTTTGGTTATTTGGTTACCGTGGAAACGCACAGCTGTCAGACACACACGGCTGAAGCTTTTAACACTCCGTTTCCTACAGGAAAAGTCGACTGTAATAAAAATCTACCGATTACTCCTTCTTCCATGGCGCACGCCCTTTCCTTCCCGGTTCTCCTCTTTATCCCTGCTCCCTATTTCACTGCCGCCTCCTCCTCCTGCTGCCTCCACCTCATATTTCTGTCAGTGTGCTGACAGAGTTTGGGGGCCTCAGTAAGGAGGGGGATATTAAATCAGGCTGTGTGTGTGTGTGTGTGTGTGTGTGTGTGTGTGTGTGTGTGTGTGTGTGTGTGTGTGTGTGTGTGTGTGTGTGTGTGTGTGTGTGTGTGTGTGTGTGTGTGTGTGTGTGTGTGTGTGTGTGTGTGTGTGTGTGTGTGTGTGTGTGTGTGTCTTGCCCAGCCTGTGATTGACAGGAATGCTAATTCATCTTTTAGGAGTTTGTTCTCTCCTCCTCCCCCTCCGGGGGAATCTTTAACCCTGAGACGGTCGCCGTCGTCGGCACCACCGAGGACTCCTTTGTTCCACTTTTAGCTCTCGTTTTCCCTGGTTCTCATGCTGCTGTTTCTGGGACGGATCCGTCCTTTGGGATTACAGCAGAACAACATCATGTTGCCATGGCGTTTTAAATAAGGGTTAATGTGTCTTCTGTTGAGGGGGAATAGTTTAATTTGATATTATTTTCTAAAGTCTGAAACAGATGTGAGTGAGCTGCTGCAGTTGTTCAGCCCAACTCCATTCATCCATCCATCCATTTTCATCTGCTTATCCAGAGTCGGGTCGCTGGGGCAGTAGCCTAAGGCGAGAGGCCCAGACTTCCCTCTCCCCAGCCACTTGGGCCAGTTCCTCTGGGGTAATCCCAAGGCGTTCCCTGGCCAGGTGAGAGACATAGTCCCTCCACCGTGTCCTGGGTCTACCTTTAGGTCTCCTCCCGGTTGGACGTGCCCGGAAAACCCCACCAGGGAGGAATCCAGGAGGCATCCTGACCAGATGTCCGAGCCACCTCAACTGGCTCCTCTCGATGTGGAGGAGCAGTGGGTCTACTCCGAGTCCCACCTGGATGACCAAGCTTCTCACCCTATCTCTAAGGGAGAGCCCAGCCACTCTTCAGAGAAAACCCATTTTGGCCGCTTGTATCTGCGATCTCGTTCTTTCGGTCACTACCCAAAGCTCATGACCATAGGTGAGGGTAGGAAAGTAGATCGACCGGTAAATCGAGAGCTTCACCTTCTGACTCAGCTCTCTCTTCACCACGACAGACCGGTACAATGCCCGCATCACTGCAGATGCAGCACCAATCCGCCTATCGATCTCACGCTCCAGTTTTCCCTCACTTGTGAACAAGACCCCGAGATACTTAAACTCCTCCACTTGGGGCAGGATCTCATCCCTGACCCGGAGAAGGCATTCTACCCTTTTCTGAAACAAGTCCATGGTCTCAGATTTAGAGGAGCTGATTCTCATCCCAGCTGCTTCACACTAGGCTGCAAACCACTCCAGCGAAAGCTGAAGATCATGTTCTGATGAAGCCAACAGGACCACATCATCTGCAAAAAGCAGAGACCTGATCCTCAGGCCACCAAAACGGATGCCCTCCACACCTTGGCTGCGCCTAGAAATCCTGTCCATAAAGGTTATGAACAGAATCTGTGACAAAGGGCAGCCTTGGCGGAGTCCAACTCTCACTGGGAACGAGTCCGACTTACTGCCGGCAATGCGGACCAAGATCTGACACCGGTCATACATGGACCTAACAGCCCGTATCAGAGGGCCTGGTACTCATTACTCCCGGAGTACCCCCCACAGGGCTTCCTGAGGGATGCGGTCAAACGCCTTCTCCAAATCCACAAAACGCATGTAGACTAGTTGGGCAGATTTCCACGCACCCTCCAGGATCCCCCTAAGGGTATAGAGCTGGTCCAGTGTTCCACGGCCAGGATGAAACCCACATTGCTCCTCCTGAATCTGAGGTTCAACAATCCGACGGGCCCTCCTCTCCAGAACCCCTGAATAGACCTTACCAGGAAGGCTCAGGAGTGTGATTTTGCTCTTAAAAGTCCGAAACAGATGTGAGTGAGCTGCTGCAGTTGTTCAGCCCAACTCTGTACATATATTTTGCATAAATACACAACGTGTACATGCATGTGTTACCCTCACTAAACAACAGTAGATAAGAGTTTTGGCTCTTAGACCCATAAGCTTGGACAGAAGACGAAGGAGGAGATAAACACCAGCTTTAGCTCCGCCCGCCACACATTTTGGTGTGAACATGTAGCGTCAGCTAGGCGTGTGGTTAGCTGCGTAAAGGTCAGCCGGGGCCATACGGACCTAGATTTATAAAAGCAGCAGGTCTGGGAGCGATTATCAGAGTTCCTGCAGATGAGTCCCAGAAACAGGTTTGAACTTTGCTGCTTTCAGTGGAATCTAAGCACTTTACTCTGTAGAACAACACAAGCCTGCTAGTATCAGAATATTATGGTAAGTGGAGAAAATCCAGCCTAAAATCATATTTAGAGCAACGATCCAGATGTTTTTATGTTTTAGTCGCGAGCGTGTATGACCTGTTTGAGCATTGAGATGTTTCATCAGGAGGACAGTACTGTCTCTAAAGAGCAGGACAGCCATTCTCTTTTTCTCCTCTCCAATATTTCATTTAAGTTTGTTAACTTTAGTTCTGTTCTGCTGTAACTTTGGCCGGATCAGAACCCTCTTATCCTTGGCCAAGCTCGGTCTCCAGACCCACTTCTATCAGCTTGTGAAAACTGCCGTCCTGATAAGAAGTATTAGTTGTCTCACAGCTGACAGGTCAGCTTGACAAGAGATAAAGAGGAGAGGAAAAAGAAGCCTGAAGCAAATCCATCAGCATTGGTCACCATGGTGATTACAGTCCAATTTAAAGAATCACTCACTTTGGAGTTTTCTAGCATGGGTGTTTAATTGAGGACAGGAAGAACGGCTGAAAGTTGGGAAAATGTCTCTTTGTCCCCTCTCACTCTCTGTCTCTTCATTTGTCTTTCAGGATGCTGCGAAACAACGATGATGAGGAGGAGGCTGCTCGGGAAAGGAGGCGTCGGGCACGCCAGGAGAGACTGAGGAGCAGGGAGAGTGAGGATCCCAGTGACCAGCTGGAGAGCCCGGTCGTGACAAACAGCCACAGGTGACGCCTACAGCTACACCACCTGGGGGTGCTGTGTGGAGCACCAAAGAAAGAGAAAGCAATAAATTCTGAATTACAGCACTGCATGTTTGCACTGCTGCCTCGCAGAGAGGGTTGCAGGTTTGAATCCCGGCTGCAGCCTTTTTGAGCTGATTTAGCATGTTCTCATTCGTGCATGGGGTTGGGTACTCCAATTTGCTCCCACAGGCCAATATGCATGTCAGAGTAAATAAATAAAAACCAGACCTAATTCTGGGTGCATCATGTTTTCATCCTGCAGAATACAATCATTCATTTTGCAGCAGATGCTGAACAGGATTATTACAGTGGTCCAGTAAAATTATACTAAAAAAAGATTACAAACAGACCAATTTTTTAAAATAAACAAGAGCAGGCCTCTCCCTTTGCTTTTCCTTAAAGCTACTTTCCGGAGTTTTCCTCGTTCAGAAATTATGTATGATTTGTCAAAAATCCGTAAAAGTGATTATCTTATCATGTACTGTGATATAAGCTATACGTCTTTTATTTATTTATTTTTGCTAAGCACGCCCCCTGCATGGCAGAGCTCTGTGCAATAGGAAACTGAGCGCCGACAAGAACTAACCAATAGAGCTCCGGACCCCACGTGACTCTCAGTTAGTAGACGCCATTTTGGCAGAAAAAAAAGGTAAACAAACACGGATGTAACCATGAACGTGAACGGGATCCGCTTGGATTTTACTTCGTTGGAGTTTACTTCACACTTTAAAACCGAAGAAATAATTTTATATAGTCAGAAATTAAATAGACTAAACATCTCCGACCCTTACCGTGCCCCTGGGATACTTTTTAAAAATGCCAGAAGCTGTCGGAGCGGACTTCTTACCGGACCTGGCCGGGGCACCCCTTGGGATTCCCCCAGCCGGAGGAGCTGGGGAGAGGTATGGGACTCTCGACGCTACTGCCCGCTCCGACGCCAGAAGCTGTCGGAGCGGACTTCTTACTGGACCTGGCCGGGGAACCCCTTGGGATTTACCCGGAGGAGCTGGCTCCGGCGGCTGGGGAGAGGGAAGTCAGGGCCTCTCGACGCTACTGCCCCTGCAACCCGACTCCGGATAAGCGGATGAAAATAAATGGATGGGTGGGTGGGTGGGTGGATGGATGGATGGATGGATGGATGGATGGACAAATAACAGATTTACACGTAAGTAGTTTAAATAGAGTGCTGTGCTGTTTGAATGTATAAACTGAACACTAAGAGAAATCACTAGTTTGATTTTTTTTCCATGAATAAAATAAATATGTCAGGCAGGAGCGTCTCACGAGCTGTCTCGGTGAGACAGATAATAGCAACCCAAAGTGCTTTTTACGTGTGATCTGTCAATTGAGCAACCATTGCTTAAAAATTAAATACAGCTTAGCCGGTTAATTGCTGTGATCATAAAACACGGAAACGGCAGCATGCAGAACTCACGAGGCAACGTTTTACATGATGTTTACTTGTTGCTATGAGTAATAAGACAGAAAAAGCCACGCCAAAATAAGTTTAGGAAGCCCGCTAAGAATCGTAATAAAAGCATTTAAAATAAATACCATACACAGTTGAGGAAACGTTGGTTTAAGTACCTGATATGAAGTGGTCGCTGCTTAAGCAAAATCCTTTACTCTCGGGATCCCACAGTTCCATTTTAGCCCGGTCACTAGTGCGTTTTATTACAATGATCCAACGTTTGCGGCGCTCCGGATCTTGGGGAATCCTGTAGATGGCTCATTCCTTATGTCGTCCGCTTCTGTTCTGCATCCTGGGGCACAACAGGAAATTACCATATTTCCCGTTTGATTGAGTTTTTTGACATTAACAAATAGTCCAGCTGCCGGCTTCTGCCAGCCAAATGGCGCCGTTTCGATTTGAACTGTTGCATGCCGGGAAACGTGACGTCAACTCCCGGAGCTCTATATCGTTAAGACTACCACTTAGACGCTTCAAATTTAAGGAATACCTCGGCTGATGCAGAGTTGATGAACTTTTCACGGACAAGAAAGTCTCTAAAATATAAATATGTGAGAACACAACATGACATGAGAGTAATACTTGTAAAACAACGTCTTTTAGCTCTGTTTGTCGGCTACAGAAGCACATTTATAAACAGAAACGTGATACGCATGTTAGCCACTAGATGGTGCCATCGAATAAGAGAAATACTCCGGAAAGAAGCTTTAATGTCTTTGTAGCACATATATGGGTACAACTTGCAAAATCAAATTTAATCCATGTGGACAAGAAGTGATAATGCTAACACGGTGTTTCCAGCTAGCCATGCTAGCAGCATGTTAGCTAGCCCATATATGTCCTTAGTCTTTTTTATTTACGCAGACAGGTGTGTTTTTGTGAATAATTTGGGCTATGCTAATGCAGTTTATCTAATTTTTTAGGAGGTTGACTGTTTTGGGGGAAATTAAATGGTAAATGGCCTGTATTTGATATAGCGCCTTCTAGAGTCCTGGAACCCCCCAAGGTGCTTTATAACACAATCAGTCATTCACCCATTCATACACACATTCACACACTGGTGGGCATGAGCTACAATGTTGCCACAGCTGCCCTGGGGCGCACTGACAGAGGCGAGGCTGCCGAGCACTGGTGCCACCGGTCCCTCCGACCACCACCAGCAGGCAATGTAGGTTAAGTGTCTTGCCCAAGGACACAACAACAGCGACAGACTGAGCGGGGCTCGAACCTGCAACCTTCCGATCACGGGGCGAGCACTTAACTCCTGTGCCACCGTCGCCCCAAACAATTACAAAAAACAATTAGAACATTTGCTGTGCTAAATTTGATATAACGATTAAAGAATTTTGTAACGTTAATGTTCTTGGTACATTTTTTCTGCCTTTGACTTCCATGGAAATATTATTTTTTCTAATAAGCGTAATTATCAGCATAATTTTTTTTATTATTATTCTGTCTGGGTTCCCAGGCCAGTTGCAGACTCAGTTTTGAGTTTTTAATGTTTTCCACTAGATTGCACATTTTCCATGTGTATAACTAACGCTGCATTTAAATAAAAAAATGTAATGAAAGTATTTTATGCCCATTTACGACACTCCAATGTGTTGAAAATGTGCCCACAAAACAAATCATCTTAACATAACACACACTCAAAAAAAATTATATTTAATAATTTGTTTACATTTCTGGTTATGATCATACACCTGACAATAAAGGGGGGAAAAAGGGTTAAATCTCAGGAATGCACAAATACTTTATTATATTTTGTGAGGACTGAAGCCAAGGACAAAGTTCATGTAAACAAAATTTGGAGTTATGAAATATTATATGAATTAGCATTGTGCCTGCATTTTTTGTGCATTAAGGTTAAAATCGTGACTTCTTTAGAAAATATGAAGTTACACAAAAACTATAAAGTGAGCAAAAATAATTTTTATACCTATTTGTGGCACTCCAAGGCTGTGACAATTTAGCCCCAAAACAAGTAATCTGTGCATAAAACACAAAAAATGAATAGATTTTTAATTGTTTTATGTTTTTTCACAATTGTATACAAATGTTTGATGGTATTGATCATAAACCTGGTGATAAACGGTTTAAATCTATTATATTATGTTAGAGCTGAAGCCAAGAAGGAAATTTATGTAAAAAATTAAGACATATGAAATATTATATAATATTTCTATAGGAAGTTTTGTATGTGCATTGTTTTGTGTTCAAACACCAGAAATGTGAGAAAATTTAAAGGTATTATAAGGGCTAGTTGTTTGCAAATATAAGTCGTTTTTAATTAAAGAGAAAGGTTTGTGTTAATCAGGTTTTATTCAAAAGTCATCACGTCGGACTGCAGCCTTCACGGTTTTAGGAAGGCTGGAGCTGAAGCCCAGCGTGTCGGGACAGATTTGGAGAAACAATGTTCTTGACTTCAGTGATGAATGGTCCTTTGCTGTAGTGGAAACAGCAGGTCAGACTGATGTCCTCAACACAGTCGTTACTTTGTGGTCCTCAGCACTTCTTCTGCATGAGCTCAGAGACACATCCTGGGCTGCTCAGACAGCCAGGGCATTGTGCTGAGACACGGCCATTGTTGATTGTGTGGATCGAAGGATAATGTTTGTCAGACTTTAGGGTCTTGTCATGCTGGTTTGGGTGAGGCTGAAGGACAGCACATGTAGAAAGACACTGGACCAACAGTAAGCCCTAATGCTGTGTTCTTGAGGTTTTCGTCCTGCAGACTATAATCGTTTATTATTTTGTCTCTTTTGTCACCTCCTCAGTGTGATGGAATCCGTGTCTGTGAGCAGCGGCGGCGGAGAAGACGACGATCAGGCCCTGCAGGACCGCATGGCCAAACGGGAAGAGAGACGGCAGCGACGCCTGAAGGAGGCGCTAGAAAGGCAGAAGCAGCTGGACCCTGCTACCTCTGAGGGGAGCGATGGCTTCACTGTTGAGAAGAACAATACAGAGGCGGAGGAGAGGTCCTCCTCCTGGCGCAGAGGTCGATACCGTGACGACCAGGACGAGGAGAACACTGTGAGCATGAAGCGAGAGGAGCCTAAAGAGGAGGAGCAGGAGGAAGAGGAGGAGACTGCTCCGGAGAGAGAAGAGGAAGAGGAGCAGAAATCTCTGAGAAGGTCTAACTACAGAGAGATGGTTTGTCCGATCAACTTCTGTTCTTGTTGTTAAAGCTGATTAATGATGATTAGTGACTGATGCACATCCTGTGTCTGCAGGCATCACCTGAGGAGCCCAAAGAGAAGGAGAAGGTACGATCTCCCGGTCCGTCTCACACTTTAGCTTCTCCAGTCAGATGTGAGAGAACCAGTGTGATCCTCTCTTTGTAGGAACTCGCTGAGGAACAAGCTCACTCGGTAGTCAGTGATTGGTCAAATCAGGCTGAGTCAGCTAATTCAGAGGCTGAGGAGGATGCAGTAGCATCCGGGGAGAATGAAGAGGTACCAGAGGATGAGAGTGTAGATAACCCATCAGAGAACAAGTTACTGAGAAATGACTCTGGAGAAGATGTTGAGGTATCTGAGCTTCTGTGGTTTCAGACCTGCGGTAAGAGTGCGAGTAGAGGTGTGGTGCACGGCTACTCAATCAACCACCTGGGTAACTTCAGGGTCTCCACTGAGGAGATTTAGACAGTTAAATCAGGAAATAAACCTAACTTTAACTTACTTCATAAGTTCCATTTAGATGCTGAAATTACCCAGAAGCCTCGTGTCTGCTGTGTGACTCACACCACTGAGCCGAGGTTTGATGAGGTGTGGTTGGATGGAAACGGGTTTGCTTCACCGTGTGGTCACAGAGTGTTGCTGCTGATCCTCCACCGTCACCTCACTCCCCCCACCCCCCACCGACTCGTGATCCACCGAACACCGGTTGCTGTTCAACCCAACAGACCCGTATTGGTTTTTAATGGTTGCCACGGTAACCAAATCTGTGAAGTTTCACACTGTGAGATTAAAATTAAAGCTAACACAGCGGTGTTCAACCATACATATTTAATTTACATTTTTATTATAAAAATAATTACTTAATTTGTTGTGACTTTTTTTTCTTCTCTTAAATTATTTTATATACCAGATTTTATATATACATTATATATATATATATAATTACTATTATTATTATTAGTGCCATGTCAGACCTTTGCTTCATTAAACCGATATAATCATGGATTTCAGTTTTAATTGAGTCTGTATTTATAAACTATAAATCAGAGGTTATGGGATGGATGGGGGCAGTGGGATGTGACGTCCTCTCTTTCCTCTCTTTTGTTTTTCCTGATTCAACGTGTTGTCTGGTCACATGATGGAGTCCAGACTGCCTCTCCATCCTTTCTGACTGTTGCTGTGTTTGTCCTTTTGCTTATGTCGACAGGTGAGTGAGTTCAGGGAGGATCGGAGGAAGCATAATGGAGGTCTGCACCAGCAGGAGGAGGAGGCTCCCAAACAGCACAGGAAACCAGAGAGGACCCCCAGGTATGCAGGAACACTCCAGGATGAGAGGGCAGACGTCTGAGATCACGCTTCCTAATCTTGCTTGAACTTTAAGCTTTTGCCCAACTTTCTTCAAAGACTAATTACCTGAACAGACCTGCTGGGCAAAGAAACTTCCTGCTTCTTACCTGATCAGCTTCTCTACTCAGAGGAAATAAGCTAAAGTCAGAGCTTCACCAAGGCTGGTTAGTGATCGACTGAGTGGGTTAGTAGGTTAGTGATGTAGTTAGTGCACATGGCTCACCTGATCCTCCCTCCAGAGGGCGAAATGGCCTCCTGGTTCTTCTATTTTAAGTTTTTCTCCTTCCAAGAGTTTTCCTGATTCTTCAGATGTTAGGGAACGTCTCAGTCTTGTACCTCGAGAGTTCAGGTGGTCCAGAGAATGGAGGTCCAGCTGGATATCCAGTAACCTCTAGGTAGATGAAGAACTTGTTTAAAGCTGTATCCTCCACTCACTGGAAGCTCTCCACACCAGCCTGCATTGGTGAAGCTCTGAAGGTCCTCAGACCAGAAGCTAAATGACTTACAAACTCATATTTAGGACCAAAAACAAACAATTAATCATCTTTTCAAGTCTGCCATCAACTGCTGGAGAAAAACCCCCATAGTGAGCTCTTAAAGGACCAGCTATGGGACCCAATAGCTGCCAGAGGCTCTTGTGATTTAGATCAGCTTCTAACTCAGAATTATTTAAAAATCTAATTTGTTTTATTCTGGGGACGATTCATCATGCTGTCATTTGTTAATGTTTTCATTTACAGCAGATCTAAAAGTTCTGTCGTTTTCGTTGTCACGATGAAGTTAATCCTTTGATGTCACTGGAGCTGAAAGTGTGTTTAAATATTTAGCACAGATCAAATGTTGAGCTCTGTGTGTGTGTGTGTGTGTGTGTGTGTGTGTGTGTGTGTGTGTGTGTGTGTGTGTGTGTGTGTGTGTGTGTCAGCCGCGGCAGCCTGCGCTCCCCCGAAGTGTCGGCAAGCGACGAGCTGGATGATGACGCCCGCTTGGAGGCCGAACGCAAGCTGGAGGTGCTTAAGCGTCGCCGTGACGACGCCGAGAGTGAGGAGTTCGAGAGGATGAGGCAGAAGCAGCAGGAAGCCGAGGTTGAGCTGGAGGAGCTGAAGAAGAAGAGGGAGGGGAGGAGGAAGGTGCTGGAGGAGGAGGAGAGGCTGCGGAAGCAAGAGGAGGACGAGCGGAGAGCCAAGGAGGAGGTGAGTATCTTGATTTAGCTCGTCGCTCTTTGACGTTGTCTCACGGTGCTCTGAGCCCCACCTGTAACTCACGTTTGTCGCGTCTCCTCTCAAACATGATGGCCTCCTCCTGAACAGAGGCGCCATTTCCTCTGAGGCCCTGACTCTGACGGGGCTCGCTGCCTTTGTTGATGTTGGCTCAGACCGCGGCGGCCTGTCTCTCGCTGTCCGCCGCTGCTCTCCTGCTCCGGTGTGATGTTAATGAGGCCTTTTGGTTAGTAATTAAAACATGGCCCTCCGATATGGAGAGACTAATTAACCAGGACAAGAAAGCTGCAGAGCGCTGACACGCTGCCAAGCACCCGCCATTGTCTGATGGGGTCTATTAGCTGGTTGGAGTCTTGTACTTGTTCAAAGGCAGGCGACAACTGTAAATAAGAATATACTCAGAGGGATGGAAGCGGTCACTAACCTGCTCTGATGGCGAGCGATAACTTTCTCCCTCAGGAGGAGAAGAGGAAGATGAAGGAGGAAATCGAGAGAAGAAGAGCAGAGGCCGCTGAGAAGCGACAGAAGGCAGAGGACACCGTGGATGAAGAGGGCAAGCCCTTCAAGTGTGTCAGCCCTCGAGGCTCCTCTCTTAAGGTAGTCTATCTTCTTGACCTTTGACCTGCTGCAGAGGTGATTCTAGCCTTCAGTCTTTATTATAACAGCATTTTTTCCACCACGCTCATCTCCCATTAGTCCAGGATCCCTCTGTAGCTTCCTTTTGGTTTGGAGGGTCACGGTGCGCGCTCCGGACCTGCGTTAAAGTCCCGCCGCCTAGCTTCATTGACATCTGCTTGTTTTTTTTTACAATCAGTTTATGCAAGACTCACGAAATGGGTGACTGTCCAAAATGCCGGTCTCAGTTAGCAGGACCTGTGAATAGTAATGGAAATTCAGGACTCGGAATAAATTCAAAAGGTGCTGTAACTCCTGACAGAAAATTAAGAATCCTCTTTTGGTGTTTTGAGACATTTTGGGAACTCCCTGGAGAGTTCTCGCCATTTGTCACCAACTGTTTGAGCCAGGACTGCAGGGTGATGCTCGCTGCAGCCTTTCTGCGTAGTGTTAGCTTGTTCTCCCCAAGGGTCCCACAGGGGAAAGGGGGCGCGCAATCTTTACGCAAGACAAAGTAGCATGAGGTCATCAATAAACAGTGTGAAGTGACCTGTACGCTACACAGAAACACAACATTCTGCTCGTTTTTAAGGCTTTTTGTCAGATTGAACCAGGAAATAGCTGCAGGCACCGAGGCAGCAGCCAAAGCTCTGGAGGAAACAGTGACTCCGCCCCCTAGCCAATCAGCGGCCGACTGTCACGATGCCGGCTCGGGTCAGGCCTTGAACAACAACAAAGCTGGGACTAAAAAGTAAAGGGAAAGCAGGGAGAAAATACCGAACCGTGGCGTTGGAAAAGGCAGCCAGATCGAACCGCACCCTCCAGAGTCACACTGAGTTATGCCGTCGGAAAAGGCCAATGAGCTCCTCTCTTGCAGAGCTGTGTGAGATGCAGTGGTGCTCTCACATCAGGACAGCGTTGATGAAGTGAGTGATGTGTAGAAACATCTGGAAGAGAGTTTTAAGTTTCACACACACTGACATTGGGTGGTGGGTGGGTGTTCACCCTTATGCAAGACAAATATATGTAACCATATATTGATAAGCAATATTTGGACGCAAAAATGTAGGGAAATCTGAGGCGTCAGAAATATATTATACAATATACCAGCATAAGATATAGCCATATATGTAGTAATATATAAGGAATTGCCGTGTTTCATAAATTGGCGAATATATTCCGTTATATATTTACGTAAGTGACCCATCATATAAGGAATAATATACCACTGAAATGTATTGTGGGATATATTGTCATATATATTTACTGATATACCAGCAAAATATATAGCAATATATGTAATAATACATAAGGAATTGTTGCTTTTCTTATATTGGTGAATATATTGCATAATTATTGGGGCAGCAGTAGCTCAGGTGGTAGAGCGGGTTGCCTCATGATCGGAGGGTCATGGGCTCAATTCCAGCTCCCGCCAGGGGTATCCTGCTGTTGTGTCCTTGGGCAAGACACTTCACCCAACTTGCCTGTCTTAGTGGTGGTCAGATGGGCCTACGGCGTCAAATGGCAGCCTCGCCTCTGTCAGACCTCCCCAGGCCGGCTGTGGCTACAAGTAGCTTACCATCACTAGCAGTGTGTGAATGTGAGAGTGTGTGAAAGTGTCTTTGGGTGTCTTGAAAAGCGCTATATAAGTTCAATGCATTATTATTATTATTATTATTATTATTATTATTATTATTATTATTATATATTTGTGTAAGTGACCCATCATATAAGAAATAATATACCACTAAATATATTGTCATACATATTTAATTATATATCTTTATAATAAATTGCAATATATGTAATGGTACATAAGTGCTGTTTTTCATATATTACGATTTACATAAAATTATATGTTACATATAGATATGTGATAGTATAATACTTTGCATACAGATACATTTTGTCATATCTTTCATTTATTACAATTGATTAAATGGGCAATTTTTCATGTTATGTAATTTCTTACTGTATATGGCCTATATCTCCACATATACATGATTACATCTGACTGTTTATTCTTTAATATATATATATATATATTTTAACCCGTCTCCAAATGCTATACCTCTCTCTCATATAAATATATATGTATGTATAAATGTACACACATTTGTATGTGTATGACGGTATGACGTATATTCTCACATATATTCAGATATTTGGTGTTCATGTAACTTTGGATATATTTTAGAATGAGTCATCAGATGTCTCTATATTGGATTATATTGTTCAATATATTACTATATATTTTACATTATATTCCAATATATTTTTCTTCCGAAAGGGCAGCCAGAGAAGGGCATCTATCTCAGGGCATTCAGTTGTTGTTGTTGTTATCGTCCCGTCAGTCCAAAGAACCTAAAGGCTCTGCTCTGACAGGAAACCCAGACCAGAGCAGAATCCACTGTTTTGTTTTTAGTAGAAGCCTCTAACACTGTTCTCCACCTCACAGACACAGCTTTACTACGTCGTCCTGTTCACTGTACGTACCTGTGTGTGTGTGCGTGTTGTGTTTGCGTTTATATATATATATATATATGTCTCAAACCTGATAGATCAACCTCAAGTATAATCCAAACAGATTTTTTATTGGTATTTAAAGGATATGTTTTGATCTTTTTAGTGGGAAGGCTGTTGTTGTTTTAGCGTCCAGGAAATAGCAGAGAACATCTTGGCTAGAAGAAGCTAACTGCTAGCATTAGCAACTCAACCACATGGTAGAAGCTCCTCCAGGCTTGTGTCATTTGTTGAGATAAAACATCAATGTTGCAGGGCAAACAGAGTGAGTGGGAGAGTAGTTTTGCTGTTCTCCAGTCAGAGGAGAGATGTCCATGTTCAGGAAATAAGACTCCAAATCCTGGCTGCCACTCAGTTGCAGCAGACTTGTCTATGCTGATCCAGGCATTTTTGTAAGTGTTATTTGTTTAAAACATTTTCACATCTGCCTAAAAATTTTGCACTGTACTTTTTATAGTTTTTCATAATTCCCTAAGAAATTGATCTATTTCATTTCGGATTTCAATTTTTAAAAAATGAGAATACACCATTTTTTTGTCTTCATCTCCTTTTTACCAACAGACTTTTTTTGCTTTACAATAGCGTCTTTTCCTGTTACATTAAAACAGAAACATGTGCCAGGAATAAGCTCTTAGTAGCCTTACAGCAGCAACACCCTTATAGATATGGATGAAGGACGGGCTGCAGGGAAAAGATTAGGGTTAACAGGATCACTCACTGCTGCAGCTCTTTAAAACACGTCTGAGAACGGGGAATTTCCTGTCCAAGAGTATTCTGGGAACTCCCACATTTGGTAGCAGTCAGATAGCAAGCTCTGCCCTGTTTTTAGTCTGCCTAAAGGGATTTTGGTTCTATGTTTGAGGAGCATTGCCCCCTTTTAAAGCCTTATGTCATTCATCATAAATAATCCTCTGAGATTCCCACAGACTTTAGAAAGAGCTTGCTGTGTTTTTTCTTGCTTTTGCTTGTGCACTGTCGTGTTTTTCCTAGTGTGCGTAGTGTTTTTGCACGTAGATAAAGCAATCATTTGCAACAGACCTGATATTAAATTAAACTAAAATGTCAGAAAAAAAGAGTATTGATGAAGTTACACAAGAAGAAGAAAGAGAAGAAGAAAAGCAACACTGTGGCCATTTTTCCAGCTAACTTTGTTTATTTTTTTGTTTGTTTTTTTCCAGATTGGGGAGAGAGCAGAGTTTCTGAACAAGTCGGCTCAGAGAAGGTAAGATCCAACATGTCCGTGATATGGTGCATCATCCTGCTCACAGTAGCATCAGTAGCTGGGTGGATTAGTTGTAAGTGGTGTGCCTAATAAAGCTGCCGCTGTATAAATTCCTCACCCGCCCGTTTCTCTCCAGCAGCTCGGTGAAGGTGGCTCATACCCCTGTGGTGTCCAAGATCGACAACCGGCTGGAGCAGTACACCTCAGCTGCTCAGGTTAGCATCACATCAGATGTTCAGGGTGCGGAGGGGTTGTGTTAACAGTTAGCCCATTTCTATGTTTGTTCCCACAGAGAGAAAACAAAGAGTCTCGATCTCCTCGTGCCGTCGTTGCAGATCTTCCCGCGGTCACTGATGTGCGAAATATCAAGAGCATGTGGGAGAGAGGCAACGTGTTTGGCTCTCCAGGGGGAGGAGGGAGTGCGTTTAAGGTAGGAAATAGATAAGTTAGCCAGCTCAACCTCGAAACACTTCTTGTTCTGATGACCTTTGGCTCCATCCAAACAGGAAGCAGCTGTGATAAAGACGGGCGTGGCAGGCCGCATCAATGACTGGCTGAACAAAACCCCAGAGAGTGGCAAGACGTCAGGAGGAAGGCCAGCGGTAGGTCGATGTCATGGCAACGATTTCTGCTGCTGCCAGGAAATACAGTTACTTTACCAACCAGCTCATAGGGGCTTAGTTTTAAACATTTTTCATGAAATTCCTGTAATCTGGACCAAAGTCACTGTTTTAAAGTGGGTTAAGTCATGTAACCATTACCAGAATAATCAGAACCAGATCTCCTCAAACAAAGTAAAGTTGGTGATGTTGGGAGGACTGGGCTCTATTAGATGATTTACTTCATAAAAGGAACTTTTTTTTATCTGCAGCGTTATCTTAATATATCTTATTTTAAATAGTTTGACATTTTTTGATCAAAAAATGTGTTAAAAGTTAGATATAGCACATCTGTCGCCGCCTAGTGGTCACACGCCCAGTTGCTGGAAGTCTCAAACTCCCTGTTGCTCTTTTCTGCTGGAATCAAGGAGACCATTTATTGCAATCAAAGCGTTTTTCAGAGTATAAATTATAGGAATTTTTTGATCTTTGAGTCTGAATATTCAAAATAAAAAATGAAATGAAACAAGTGAGTATGTTCAGGAGCACTTTGATCCGCTCTCACAGGACCTGAAACCTGTTGATGTCACCAACAAAAGGAGCCTCTGGGAAAACAAAGGCGCCACTCCAACAAAGGTATTGATCTTAACTCCTTCACTGTCTGGAAACATAGGGGTGGGGATTAGAGGACCAGATCGGAAAACGTTCTAGTGAGCATTACAACACCAGAAAATATGTCCAAATGAAGTTTTAACCACGCCAAAGTGGTTTGTGGTCTTGGAAGGCGTTCTCTCGCCCCTGGTTTCAGTCAGGAGAATGTTTTCATAAAGACACAAGGACGAAGAGCTAAGAGTCTCATGTTATTTTGACCCAGCTGTGGCAGAAGTCAGAGTAACAATCACTTGTGTTTGTTTTTGTTTTAAAGAACTCTCATAGCTAGTTGACCTCGACATTCAGTCTGGAATAATCCTGGAGAGGTAAAAGAGTAACTCATCTCCATTTACTCACACAATGACCTCACGCTCTCTGTCACCGGCACAGCTGCATTCTGTTCTGCTTTGTTTGGACATGGCTGCATATTTAATTTGCAATAATAGTAATAATAATAACAACTAGGAAGGTTCCTGAAGAGACTTTGAATGGGTCCACCAGCTGCAATAGTTTGTACAACTTTAAAATGCAGCAGATGCTGTCTTAGCCAATCAGAGAGCTAGGATTTTCTCGCTTTGTTGGCAGGTAACTTCTGCAGCAATGTAAGCGAATGTAAACAAACTCTGTTTACCACTCTATTTTCTAATCTGCTTTGCCTTACGCCCTGGATCGCTCATATGTTGTACTGCAATTTAAACTAAAAGTATTGATGGGTGTTTCGATCACACCAGTCACGTACTTTGACATTTATCAGCTTGTAAAAGTTTGTAATTAGCATGACTACACACCAGAAATGAGCACGTCACATTACCACATAATCTCATCGCCGCAAAGTAGTTGCTACTTAGCAAATGAACAGATTGCTGGTTCTTTCCTCCTGTGGGAAGTTTGCTGAACTTACAGCCATTTTCCCTCAGTTTTCTCCGTGTCTGGTTTGATGACGTCACTTTCGTGAAGCGCATTTGTAGTCCTGGACTTATTTTCACACAAAACCTAAAATATTGTTTCACCTTGTTCGAAAATAAGCTCGTTCTTGGTATCAAAATGCGTTTTTAAAATTCACAGACATCATATGTGAAATCCATGGCACAAAACAAGCAGAAGTAGAAAATAGCGTTTTTAGCCACATTGACTTGCATTCATTGTTTTGTTCTTCTGGGGACCCATGATGCGGAAGTAACTTAGGCTCCCTATAATTATCTAAGAGGTTAAGTTCAAAATGAGATATTTATAATGTGATGGTGCACTGATGAGGGTTTGCACGTATGAGCACATCACCCCCGCTTTGAAAGATCTTCATTGGCTCCCAGTTTCATTCAGAATTGAATACAAAGTTTCTCTGTTCTCTTATCAGTGCATTTATGGTCATGCTCCTTCCTATTTGAAGGAACTTCTCACATTCCTGACAAATCGTACTCCGATTTGCAACAACAAACTCCGTATTTTTTTGGGAAAGCCTTTTGCTAAGTACATTCTATACACTTTGTAACACTTTGAGATTGCAAAAATATAAAGCGCATTACAATAAAATGTATTATTATTATTATTATTATTATTATTATTATTATTAATGTGCCTGTGAGCCATAATCATCTAGCCTGGCAAGCCAGACTAAATAAATGTATTATTTAGTCTGGCCACGCTCCATTGACGGCTCTCGGTTGTGGGGCGGGTTCTACCGTTGTCTTTCAAATGATCTCCGCATTCCACTGGACAATGAACGTGACATACTCTTGTTTCACTCTGTTGCATCATCCCACCCACCAGGCATATAGAGTGCCCTGATTGGCCCACAAAGCGGATAAAGCTCTGTGATTTGTTCACTAAGCAGATAGAGCACTATGATTGGCCCACCATTATGGACCAATCACAGCTCTTAATGTGTTTGAAACCCCTCTAGAGAGCTGTGATTGGCCAGCCAGAGTCCTGGTAGGAGCTGCGGACGTTCCAATGGAGCATGCCTAGACTTTGCAAAGCAAGAATTTGGTCTAGTTCACTAGGCTAATAATCATCAGTCTTTTTCCTCAAATGTACACAGATTGGTTGGAATTAAAACTTGCCAAATTTTGCGTGGCAGAAACATAAACAGATCTTGCATTGTGTCATTTTACAAGTTAAGTTAAAGATGCATCTGTTAAAATCAAGTGTCAGGTTTGCTAATTATTTAGCTTTATATATGCTTTCACTTTTTTCATGAACGGCTATGTCATATCTACCTCTTTCAGCACTTTTTTTGTTTTGGTTCTGAAATAATATTACAAAGATGTCCTGTCATTTGCTCTAACTGTCTGCTAACACCAGACCACAGCTTACTCTGAAAACCAGGTTAAAAAATGACAAGTAGCAGTTAGCTAATCATGCCTTTCTGAGATGTCATGGAAGGCAGGTGGTAAAAATGTACCTTAGTTCAGGTATGTTTGCTAACCATTTAGCATCACTTTAACACCTGTTTTTGTTCGATTCAGATGGCAGGCAGAGGGGAGACCAAATCAGTCGCTAATGGTGAGTTTTAATCCTTGGCTTTGACCACACATGGGCAAAATTGAGCAAAGGACCAGGAGTGGCTCTTAGTTCCTTTCCTATAAATCCCCAAATTAATAAAACATATAATAAGTCAGTAAAATGTAACTTTTCATTAATGCATCTCAATGCAACTGAAAACCAAGTTTGTACTGCCTTCAATTCCACTGTGTTGTCTACATTTTGAGCTAAAATTAGCCTAAACTTGTTTTTTAAGCTTGTTAGTTTTATTACTGGCAAAACCAGACTAAGAATACATGATTCAGGAATTCTAAATAAATAAACTAATGTTAGTTTAGCAGCAGCATGCTTGATTTGCTGGGATAGAACTGGCAATTTTTGACTCAGAGTGCTAATAATGCTACTTTTATTTGTGGTTCACAGTTCAAACATCAGTGTATCAACAGAAATACATTAGCTTCATGTAAAATGTTGAACTTTTTGGTAACATAAGTCATTGAAACATTAAAGAATCAGCTACCGCTGCTACCTACATGTTAATTCTAATCAGATCAAACTTTATTTATCAAGTACTTTTCATATGAGTGCAACTCAAAGCGCTGTACAAATTACTATAGTTTTAAAAAAATAACTATTTGTTTTTCTTCCTGACTGTATATTTTTAAAAGTCTTAAAAGTGTTTCCAGCATATTTTTTGGCAGATTTTTTTTCTAATTTACAAATTACTCTAACATAAAAGTACTAGTTCAAGGTTAGCTGCATGCTAATTGTAACTATAGCTTTTTCATCTGTTTGCTAGCATACCTAAAGTGTGTGTATTTTCAATCAAATGTTTTAAAAACATTGTTTTTTTATTTTATTTTATTTTTTCCACATATTTACTTGGTTTAATTGTTGGTTTTCTGTCATTTACAAATCATTTATAGTCTCACTATTTGCTACAAAGCCTTCTGTTGGGGCTGTGTATTTTTAGTGGATCTTTTTTTATTCAAAAATGTCTTCTAACATATTTACCTTTTTTTTCTTTTTATAGAATAAATTCAGATCATTCAAAGAATCAGCAGCAAATGCTATCCACACATTAACAGTAGGTTTGCCCTTTAGCAATTGCTAACTAGTAATATGGTTCCCATGTTAAAGTTCATCGTGAGCCTCTTTAGTTCCTCTAATTTCTTTAATGAAGTTAAAATGTCATCCATCTCTTGAGTCTCTTCCTCTAAGCTTGGAGCCATTCCGCAGAATCATCTTCACCCTTGAACTAAAACAGCTCCTAATCTAAGTAACTTGGATAATTAACTTCCTCTCAGGCAGAGAGGAGGCATGACCTTCATGTGTTCCTGAACCAGGAACTGGCTCGACCACAGCCAGCATGCCGTTTGGCTCCAGTGTTTCAGGATGCCACCTAAACATTGCTGCTATTTTAAAATCCTTCTCCCCTAGGCAGCCAGTCAAGAAGTTTGGCCTTGATAGATTCCGTTCATGTCAGTGTAATGTGCTGCTCAATCCGTGCTCGGCACAACACAATCCACACGCACACTGCCTCTATAAATGTACTCGGCAGCCATTGTGACGCCACTCGAGCTGTTTAGCTCCACTTTTGTTGCTCTCCACCCGATGATTGTCAGCTGCGGAGCTCCTGCCAGGCTGGTTTGTCACATTAATAGCTGGTATGTTGGAGATTAGGGAGCCATCTCAGTCCGATTCAGAGGATGACGGAGGATTTGTACAGATTTGGGATTGCTCACCCAGAGTTGGCTACAGGACTTTGGAGACATTTGACACATAGACGTTAGCGGACTCACACCAATGCTTTCTTAACTCATTAAAACCACTGACCGCCTTTATTCATGAAATATTTGAGTGTAGTGGTGTTTGTTGCTTCAGTTTGACTTCCATGTGTCAGAAGAGTCATTAACCCACACCTGTCTGCAGGCTTATAGCTAGAGGTGAATATAGACTTTTTGGGGCCCAAGGTGAAAGCACAGACATGAGGGCCCTGCTCCCCACTTTACACCTATTTATCACTTGTCAATCAAGACCTAATTGTAACTTTTTAACTTCTGCATGCAATGCTTACCTACTGTTTTCTTTACTCTTTTTAACATTTTTAAGAGCATGAAGGCCTTGTTTCATCTAATCAGTCACTGTAGATGTTTGCATTTTTCTAGATCAGTGGCCCACGAGCCTCCTCTTTCTGGCCCCCCAGACCAAAATATCTTAAAATGAACTTTTTCGTGTTTCTAATGCATTCATATACAGTCTTACTTTTTTTTTTTCAAATGCATGTTTAGTATTGCCACATCCTAAAACAATTACAAAGGTTTTCTAGCCTACATTTGTGTAGGTTTTCAGAGGACTCCAAGCGCTTTACTCTACAGTCCGTCATTCAAAATGAAATGAAAGCATCAGCAGCGCGGAACGGCAGCAGCAGCGGCGCTGACCGGCAGCAGAACAGCAGTGGCACGGAACAGCAGCGGGATGTCACTGCTTCAAATATAGTCCATTATAGTCTATGGAGTGTTTCAAACAAGCCGCGATTTTCAGGCGCGTCCCAGAGGCAGCACGCTGCACCGCTAAAGATAGGATCGGGTTCTGTTTTTGCCACAAGCCGCTTCTGGGACACGTCAATTTCCGCAGTTAACATAAGGCTAGACAGGAAGTCACACACTGTTTCAGTGTAAAATCCCCAGTAATTTTCTGTGACCCAACGGCTTATTTGCTGCCAGTATCGTTCCAGAAGTGCAACAGTGTGTTTTTCATGGCTTCAGTCCTGGCAGTGGAGAGGAACAACATCATATATGACCTCAAACAATGATACCAAACCTAATTTCCTTCTGTTTTGTCCAATGGCGGATTTCATAAACAAACCTTGACCTTTGAAGTCTTGAAGGATCTTATTCAATTCAATAGTACTTTATTAATCCCAGAGGGAAATTAGAGTTTCAGTACACACAATTCTGAGATCAGACATACATACATACTGTACATACATACATGACAAGAATTGGTGACTGTGGTCATTCGCAACCCGAGTCGCTCTACCGTAATAGATCAAGAGGGTTTATATGAGGATAGAGTCGGGGGGAGGGGAAAAAAGGCACTTCAGAGTTACTCTCACCCAAGAGGGTAGCTTTGCTATGCAAAAAAACACCTCAGACAGATATGCACACACTTCAGACATTACACAACATAAGTGTCCACTAGATGGGGAGGTAGGGTTGGGACTCTCCTCACTTCGGTGCGTGCAGCCGCGTGGAGCAGCGCTTATCAACTCCGTTTGGACAGGGGAGGGAGATTAATGGATTGGAGCGCACAGTGACTCCTAGATACGGTTCCACGGCCTTCACCGGTCACAGTCCCGCCCGGGCTGGGGGAGGGAGAAAGAGTTGCCTAGCGACGGCAGCATTCCACATTTCTTCTGAGGGGGGAGTTTTTACTTCAGCCTCACAGGCTCAAGGGCACCAGATTCAGATTAGGATTGTTTTGGGGACAGACAGAGATAATTTCCTCTCTGCTTTAGAGTTCTGTTGGTCATCAACCCCTCTAGATCCAATAATGGCGTAATTAATATATCCCAATCCATGCTGATCCGTCCACAACTCTGTCCTTGATGGAATCCACCTTCTGTGCCAGAGCCTGAATCTCAGCCAAAGTTCCAAGCTTACGGTTCCAAGCTTACGACTCATCTCGACAATTATGTGAGTTTGTGCGTCACAGCACGGTTTATTCCATCCGAGCTCCGGGATTGAGCCAGTATTCCTCGAAAGCTCGTTAATTTTTCGGTAAGCCAGGTAACCGCTCAGGCCAAACAGCAGGAATCCTGACACCAAAACCACGAATATCCAGACATCTTCAGAATCCTCTACAGACAGTTGAGAGAGGCATATCAGGTTCCACTGTTTCCAGGAGTCCATGATATACCCAGCTGGCTCTGTCCCAGAGGAGCATCCGGGAGCCCCTTCTCCCGTTCTCATCGTTGAAAAAATTTTGTCAATTGCGTTGAGTGACCAGCTGACCAGATCCATTTTTAATCATTTCCAGTTTCCAGCAAAAAGTGCAGAAGCGCCGTGCACACAAGACAGGACAAAGAGCCTTAGGATAAGAGAGGGGGAGAGGAGAAAACAGCGTCTGTACTCTTCAAGAGCCGGAAGAGATAAAATGATCTTGCGAGTCCAGCGAAGAGCACAGTGAGGAAGCATGAGGATGCCGTACCGCAGCCAAGACTCTCCCAGGGTGAAATGGACCACTTTGAAGTTCGCGAGTAAACCGTTCCGCTGCCGTTTTGCGCCGCTGATGCTTCCAGTGGGAAACCGGGGTGAGGCTCACTGACCGAAGCAAAGCTGCCACACCACCAATCCCTTTGAACACTGCCAGCAGGCAAGGAGGATGTAGTGTCTTATTTTATCAATCCCGCTGTCCTGAATAGATTTTGTACAAAATTATCCAGGTAAAGGATCTGTAACGTTCTACGGTTCTTTTTAACTCTGGTTCATTTGAGAGCTGCACCAGTTTTATTCCCGCCCACAACTATCTCATAACTTAAAGCAGAACGATGCTCATTCGATTTATAGCCTTATAAAGCCATCTGTATGTTCAGAGCCAGAACGCATCAGAATTTCAAAACAAAAATAACAACGCGTTAATGCACTGTAAAATGTTTTTTTGGCATTAGGTGATAAATTAGTTAACATGATAATAATGTGTCATCTTTTTCAGCTCTGATTTTAACATTTATTGAGTAGATTGTGGATTTGTATCATTTAATTCTTGTAAATCAAAGTAAAACTAAATCTGACACCGCATATCTAGAATAAACAGTAAATTTCTGACTTCATGAATTCCATTTCACTTTTATTCCAAGTTTAAACAATTATCCAAAATATTAACTCTCACTCTTAACGAAATATTTGCTAATCAATATACTGCATGTTTGAAATGACTTTTTACCTGATCATAACATATTGTTATGATCGAGAGGAACCAGTTGAGGTGGCTCGGACATCTGGTCAGGATGCCTCCTGGACGCCTCCCTGGTGAGGTTTTCTGGGCACGTCCAACCAGGAGGAGGCCTAAAGGTAGACCCAGGACACTGTGGAGGGACTATGTCTCTCACCTGGCCAGGGAACGCCTTGGGATTATCCCGGAGGAGCTGGCCCAAGGGGCTGGGGAGAGGGAAGTCTGGGCCTCTCGACTTAGGCTATTGCCCCCGCTACCCGACTCCGGATAAGCGGATGAAAATGGATGGATGGCATAACATATTGATTTAAGCAATTAAAAACAAGTTATCTTGAATAGTTTATCATTATTTCAAGTTAAAATAATCTGTCATGTTCAATTTGAATGAGGATATCAAATTATTGGAGTATTTCAAGTACATTTATTATGGGATGTTTGTCAGGGACTGAGGAGGCAATGTTTTTTAACCCTAGGAGGAAACTTAACATTTAATGGTTATTTTGGATGTTACCTTTTGAAATCTGTTTGTTCATGAGGTCCTTAGCGTGTCTTCTTCTGATCGCAGCAAAGCAGCTAATAGACTTGTCTTGTGTCTTTTATAGGTATGGGACACTAATGCCCTCAAGGAGCCACCGTAGTTGGGGACCAGGACAATTTTTCCTTCATTTTTTATTTTTATTTGTATTTTATTTTTTTGCCTCTTAAAAACCAAATAAGGATCCCAAATAAAAAACCCCACTGAGAGACCCTGTCGTTGGGTTTCCAAGTATCGTGCCTTTGCACAAAGAATTTTCTATGTTAAAAAATGCTGTGAAATTTGAACATTTAGCTTGTAAAAGATCTTTCCAAGATGACAAAAGTGATTAAGTTTAAGATGTTTGTCCTCCACGTGGCGACAGAGCGGACCAAAAGCTTCCACATTCCAGAGCGGTGGGTGAAACCAGTCCTCTTCCTCTCACAGATCATGTTTCCATCCTTTTTTAATTTATATTTATAGTGAAAGCTTCACCACATTCCTGTTTTATTCCACATTCACCTGTTCAGGATAGAAACGCGCCAGAAGCACTTTTAGGATTTAGCTGATCTCACTTTTTTTAGGAATATATGCCAGCACGTGATGTTATGAGTATCAGAAAGCATAATTTATCACACCTGTGTACTCTGAACAACCCTACTCAATAACAGGCAGGTCATTTTATTATGCTTTTATGTCTTTTTATTTAAGTTTTCATGTGGTTTATGGTATGTAGCTGTTTTTGAAGCTTTGTCGATCACTTTAAACAAACAATTATATCTTCCAACATTCCTTTTTAAAATGGTGCCTTCACTGCTTAAAGCTTCGGGTTTATAATATAAAGAATATGTGCAAACCGACCAACTTTTGTATTCTGCATTCACTCTAACTTCTTTATTATAATTATTATTTTAAGATTAAGGTATGCAAAGTAAAATCTGGTTGCCTGAGTATATGTACCACTATGTAAAACCTCTTGCCTTATGATTGCAATTAAGTCCTTTACAGCAGCTGGAAGTCCGTACATGAAAGCCTCCCACCAACAGGAGGAGATCCAGATGTGTTACTTCTCATTTATTATTATAATTATTATTATTTGTGGCTGGAACGAGTGGCTCATAGCGTTGATGAGAACATGAAGGGTTTGTCGGGGCATTAAATCAATTAATGTTTTTGCTCCAGAGTCTGACAATCACATCCCACAGGGGAGCTCGACCAAAACATCTTAAAGAGTGAATTAAAGTGATGTTTATGGGTTTTTTTAATACAGTGGTGTTATAATGCTGTACTTTTTTACAATCTTGTGTTCATTTAATGCTCCTTTTTTAAATCCTCTTTTTTTAACTAGGCACTTGTTTGTGTAGCGCTGAGCCTATGCAACATCTGTTTGTACCCGTATCTACTCTATCTACCGATGTCATGACACTTTGTCAAAGTGGATGAATGTTTTTAACTTTGTATTCTTGACACAGCAGCAGCAATAAAGATGTTGAGGTATTCCAGACTGGGTTCCTTTTCTTTATTCTTCTTCTCTGCTTTTAAATCTGTTGCATGGGGACATTTTATGTTGGTTTACAGATACGCTGAATTAAAACTGCATCACTGCATCACTGCAGATGCTGAACCAATCCGCCTGTCGATCTCCCGATCCCTCCTACCCTCACTCGTGAACAAGACCCTGAGATACTTAAGCTCCTCCACTTGAGGTAGGACTTCTCCCCCGACCTGGAGTTGGCAAGCCACCCTTTTCCAGTGGAGAACCATGGTCTCAGATTTGGAGGTGCTGATCCTCATCCCATCTGCTTCACACTAGGCCGTGAACCTACCCAGCAAGAGCTGAAGGTCAGAGCTGGATGAAGCTAGGAGGACCACATCATCCGCAAAAAGCAGAGACGAGATTCTCCTGCCACCAAACTCGACACACTCCACACCACGGCTGCGCCTAGAAATTCTGTCCATAAAGGTAATGAACAGAATCGGTGACAAAAGGCAGCCCAGTGTGAGCGAGTTGCTGCCTTCCTCTCCTGAGGTGCCGGACAGTTTGCCAGAACCTCTTTGGAGCCGATCGATAGTCTTTCTCCATGGTCTCACCAAACTCCTCCCACGTCCGAGATTTTGCCTCGGCAACTGCCACTGCTGCACCCCGCTTGGCTATCCAGTACCTGTCTGCTGCCTCCGGAGACCCACAGACCAGCCACGCCCTGTAGGCCTCCTTCTTCAGCCTGATGGCTCCCCGAACCTCTGGTGTCCACAGCGGGTACGGGGGTTGCCACCACGACTGGCACCGGCCACCTTGCGACCACAGCAAGCAAAAGCCGCCTCTACAATCGCAGAGTGGAACAAAACCCATTCGGAGTCAATGTCCCCCACTGCTCTCGGGACGCAGTCAAAGCTCTGCCGGAGGTGGGAGTTGAAGACCGTCTTAACAGGTTCTTCTGCCAGGTGTTCCATCAGACCCTCACTATGCGTTTGGGTCTGCCAGGTCTACACGGCATCTTCCCCTGCCATCTGATCCAACTCACCACCAGGTGGTGATCAGTTGACAGCTCTGCTCCTCTCTTCACTCTGGTGTCCAAAACATATGGCCGCAGATCAGATGATACGACTACAAAGTCTATCATTGACCTGCGACCTAGGCTGCCCTGGTACCAAGTGTACCGATGGGCATCCTTATGTTCGAACATGGTGTTCGTTATGGCCAAACTGCGGCTTGCACAGAAGTCCAATAACGAAACACCAATTGAGTTCAGATCAGGCGGGCCATTCCTCCCAATCACACCCCTCCAGGTCATTCTGTCATTGCCCACGTGAGCATTGAAGTTCCCCAGCAGGACAATGGAGTCCCCTGATGGAGCACTATCTAGCACTCGTCCCAGGGACTCCAAAAAGGGTGTGTACTCTGAACTGATATTTGGCCCATAAGCACAAACAACAGTCAGGACCCGTTCCCCGACCGGAAGGCGCAAGGAAGCTACCCTCTCGTCCCCCGGGGAAAAACCCCAACACACAGGCAGAGTCTTGGGGCCAACCCCAGCCCTCCGCCTCTCACCCGGAGCAACTCCAGCAAAGGAGAGTGTCCAACCCCTCTCAAGGGCTTGGGTTCCAGAGCCAATGCTATGTGTCGAGGTGAGTCAGACTATATCTAGCCGGTACCGCTCAACCTCTGCCACAAGCTCCTGCTCCTTCCCCGCCAGCGAGGTGATGTTCCATGTCCCAAAACCCAGTTTCCTTGTCTGGGGATCGGACCGCCAAGGTTCCCGCCTTGGTCTGCCACCCGATCCACATTGCACTGGACCCTTCATGTTCCTCCTGCAGGTGGTGGGTCCACAGTTGGATGAGCCCATGTATCCGGTTCGGGCTGGGCCCGGCCGGGACCCATGGGCGAAGGCCCGGCCACCAGGCGCTCGCTCACGGGCCCCAACCCCAGGCCTGGCTCCAGGGTGGGACCCTGCTAACCCTCCGGGCCGGGTACTCCGACTCTTTGAATTTACTTCCATGAAAGATCCTGTGAACCGTTCTTTGTCTCACCCTTCACCTAAGACCAATTTGTCATGGGAAACCCTACCAGGGGCACAAAGTGCCCCAGACAACATAGCTCCTAGGATCATTAGGGCACTCAAACTCCTCCACCACGATAAGGTGACGGTTCAAGGAGGAGAAATACGTTTATTTATATTTTTTTTATGCAAAAATTAGGTTATGGTGAATGGTTCAAAAATGGCCTAAACTCGACAGTTTTGGGGAAAATCTGGACATTAAAAAGTTAAAATTGTTGATTTACATAACACCTTGCTGGAGAGAAAAATAATTCTTTCATCACAGAAATGCTCTTCGGGCCAGACAAAATCACTCTGAGGGCCCCAAATGGCCCTCGAGCCACACTTTGGACTAGTGGCTGATTTAGAAGAATGCAATTTTTAATCTTTGTTACATTTTTTTTCTTTGGTTGTTCAGAAACCTTGTTAATCACTTTGGGCGTGCTTCTTTCTTTTTCGGTCCGTGTGTCTGACGGATTGTGATTGACGTGTGAGTGTTGTATTTCTGTCCAGGTGTAACTCAGCTGACTTGCAGCCTCCAACAATAGAACAGACCAGTCATAGTGAAGATATGTGGTCACATGACACAGGGCCACATTGGGTCTGAGCAGGAGGTGATTAAGCATGTCTTTGTCTGGATGTAGAAGAGGAAGAATACCCACAATTCCATCTCTTCTTCAGGGGGTGCACATAGGTAAGAGGTGAGTGTGACCCTAGCGTGCAAATGAGTACTAATAGAAAACTGGATGGGGTTATGTAAGAAGGGTATTTATTTTAAAATGTATTCTGTTTTCATAAATGTTCAGGCCAAGCATCAAATTTTCAATAGTTAAACCTCCTCAGATGGGACCAGTTAAGGCTCGTTAGGGTTTATGATTCTTTTCCTAGTGTTTTCTGTTCTGGTGGGTGAATATGTCAGTGATCCAGGTGCTAAGCTGGCCCCCGAGATTGCTGTGTTGCCATCCTGCCCTACAGGCTCTTACCTAATGCTGCTTAATGCTGAAACCAGCACCAGCATCAGACTGTGATGTTCCACCATTCCAGCCAAATGCCGACCGACCAACCGACCACATTCATTAAAGCAAATCCAGTCCAGCTATGAGAAGTCTCATCCACTCTCGGTTTCCAGTCAGCTCTTTTCCATAGTCAGATTTTTTTTCTGCTTCCTTGGTTGTTGCTCACTTTTCCACATTCATCTTTTGACGTCAGAAACTCAACTTGATGACAGAAGGAACGACCACAAAGAGGGCTTCCTCATGCATTCCTTGTGTATTTGAATTCCAGCAGAAGCAGCATGGATTTGGTGCCGTAACCAGATTCAGAGGAGGTGCAGAATTAAAGTGCAGGCTCTTTGAAATTCTTTGGAAGTCAAGAGTAAGACTGTAGCCAGGGAAACGGCAAAATCAGGCATGTGGATCTGATTGTATTTTATTGTACTTAATGAAGCTAATGCGTTTTGTTTCAGAAACATGTTTTAAAGAGGAGATCTGCTATTGTTGTAAAACTGTTGCCCAAACGGGCAGCTGGCCCCGAGACAGGCACGAACATAAATAGCTGGAGGAATGTTGGATGCAGCTCATTGATTTAGAGGAGTACAGATGAGGTGAACCAGAGTAATTGTCTGGAGGAGTTGCTCCACACCTGTTCAAGTGCATGCCCTATTATTCTTAAAAATAGACCTTCTCCACCCCCACCACCTCCTCTCCAGTCACTGTGACATTGGTTTTTACGATGTAGTGATACACAATCCAAGAAACTGTTGTGCACAGTTAGATGCTGACATAACTGTGAATAAATCCTTCCCTGTGACCTTGATCCTAAACATTATACTGTTATTGAGGCTGGATCCTTATTCAACCACGTTTTATAACAGGTAGAAGTTGGACAAAGGTAGGAAACTGTCGTGTTGGGTTTCAGCCGTCTGACCCAGGACATTCAGAATCAACTCAGAACACAGGGATTACGGTGAGTAAACAATAATTTATTATATCTAAGGCAACTAAAAGAGCACCATCAAAAAGGTGAGGTGAATATCTGGAAACACTGTCCAGTCTCTTTAGTCCAATCCTTCTTAGGAGCGAGGTTCGGGACTCGGGAAGGAGGAATTTCTAGTCGGTAGGTGAGTTGCAGGAGCAGAGCGGGGCAGTGAAACTCAGGAGATCCACGGAGTCCGGGAGGATGGTGGGAGAGCGGGTCGGTCAGGCTTGGCTGGGGAGCTGAGAGACGGGCGTGAGTCCAGAGTTATGGTAGGTTCTGTAGGTGGAGGCTGGGATCTGTAAGTTGAGGGAGAAGGCACATGAGGTTACTCGGAAGGAGGCTCGGAAGACAATCTGGTTGTGCTCGAGAACACAGGCTTGTGACACTCGGGTAACACTACCAAGGTTAAGTAATCATCCAGCGCTAATGTGTGTCTCCCTGCTCCTTAAGGAGCACTTTGTAAGTTTTTATGTTTTGAAAAAGTTTTTCTTGAGCCAGTATGGCTAGATGGCCTGGAGCCTCATTTATCAAGCTTGCTTACGCACAAAGCGGGGTTGGAAAACTGCGTGAGCAACTTTCCACGCAAACTTTGGGATTTATGAAAGAAAACTTAGCAGAAAAATGTGCGCAACTTTAAGTTGACTAAGAACCTGGCTTACGCACATTTTGGACATGGAGAGCACCTGCAGTGCTGCTGCTGAGAAGGATAAAATTATGAAATCCTGCAGCATTATCACTTGTACTGCTTCGTTTTCACACAGAAGAAGACCACACACACACACACACACACACACACACGCTTACCCACACATGCACGCACACTCACACATACGCACGCGCACACACACACAGCCTGAAACGCAGAATACGGATTGCAGAATATCAGCAAGGGGACAGATTGAGACAGAATGTCATGTGTCTGTGACAGTGTGTGTCCTGTCAATGTGATCCGATTGATAATGCGCCCTGGCTACTTGGACAGGGGAGAT